AGTTTTGACAAAAGGAACATGCATTCGGTTGGGGTTTTCTCCATCGTTTTGTTCATATGAAAATCGGGACAAAATTTTTTGATTTAGAAGGAGTGTTCCGAATCGATATGATTCCAAAATTGCTTACTTGTGTTCGATTATTCAAAATTGTTCATCTAATAATAAATGTTTGCTATTGTTTCCTCTCCCATATTGTGAGACCTTAGCAATGCGCTTTGAGTTAAGTTCATACGATTGAACACTTGCTTTTGGCCGACATTATTTACTCGGACTCAGTTCAAATAAAGTGGGAGTTGGACTTACGCAACAGATGGAATATGAAATTAGAATGGAATTAAACAAAGTGCTTATTAAATGACGCACTGAAATTATGTTGTTGATTTGGAATGAACACTTTGATCTGCTGTGAACTCTAATGATACGATGTTATTTGATGTAATAATGCGAACGAACGAGCATTTTTGAGTTGGATGACGTAAACGACAGATTCCTCTTGAATTTATCAAATGAATCAGATAGATTGATGATAATGATGATGTGTGTGTGTGATTTGTAAAAAATTCAGTGATTCCAAGCAAAATGCAACTCTTCAATTTCACTTCAGCATTCGTTTGATCAGTGGATCACCTCTGATTAATCACCAGATCCGCTCGATAATGGGCTTGATACGGTTTGATAAATATGCTTTGAGAATGCGATTTTTTTGCTTGAATAGATTCATCGGGTTTTTAAGAATATCAAAGAATTTGGGTGATCTCAAGTGTGTGTGCGTAAGTTATGTAAAGTTATTTATTTGACGTAATTATCGCCGACATCGTCATCAACCCACTCGATCTATCAATATGAACGCAACAAACGTTCGCTGTTTGTTCCTTCGTTTTTATCACTGCTTCATAACAAAACAAATCCATCATCATATCGCAATTGAACATCTCGCATTTTTATTTCAAGCTATTCATTCATTTCTTCACACTAACCACTACACTTCTCAAACCCTCTTCATGCCGAAACTACATTCTATTTGTCCCAACACAGCATTTTTNCCTATTTGTAAGTATGCAAAACCAACTGGACTATAGGCGAAACTCTTCCCCAGATCGTCCATCAAAACATGAATGAATAATCATTACAAAATCGTAACAAACATTTATAATTTCCTAACAAACATTCATAATTTGCAGCAATTCGTTAATTGGCCATGATCCCGATAGCCAAAGCCAAAGTGTCGGTAACAAGTGAATAAGATGAATGAACATCAATTATCTGAGTGATCATCGGATGATCACACTGTCGTGAACGAAAATTTGAATCCGTCAAAGATGTGGATCATAATCGATTGAGCTTACCTGATCGCTTGGCTAGGCCCCTTTGATGAGGTCACCGGTCTGGAGAATGACGTTCCGGGACGTGCATTGATCGCTATCACGCTATCGTCTAGAAACGTTTCGGCTACACCTCGTTCATCGTTCTCGATTTCATCCACATAGATACCCTCCGTCATACAGGTCATCTTCAAGCCCCATGCTGCCTTCAAAAGTATCTATTTATCAACATAACCAGCAAACATGATACTAGCAAACGTCGTGAAGTTGTGCATGGAAACTCAGAATCAAACATTTTTTTCTTCAAAAAGGATTCGACGATCCTGTGTTGGAGTCAGCAGCAATCTTTGGTCAATAGCGCTACTTATACAAATGTTTGGCTCTGTTCAGTTTAGAGTTTATTCTCTTTTTTCCTATTCACTTTCATCTCATCGTCCCAGTCCGTCTAAAGTATCTTCCAATAGAAAGATTTCTTAAGAATTTCTCTCTAATCGCCAGTGTTGCATCATTATTACTTCAACAGTGAATGTCAAAGAGTTTTTATTTCACTCACATTGACAGACAGCAGTAAGCAACTTGATTCATCGCAAATGGATTGCAACAGCAGCAAAGGTGTGAATTGAATAGTAGTATAAACAATGTATACATTATCACAAATCCCCTTAGATTTGTAACAAATCCCTTCACATACAAACCAAACAGTGTATATGCCCATGCGATCAAACAGCATTAATCAGACACGTCTCATGATGTGTTGTTGAACAACTGTGCCTTCGCAGAATTTACTTCGTTGAAGAGAGGAAGGAGGATGAACCAATGCAACGACTGTTTTTCGATGGAAAATTTTTTGTGGCACAATTTTCGAGTTATTTTGGATGCAAACAGATGATTTTTGAAATATTATCGATTGTTTCCATCCAGAAAAATGGTGTTTATTACGATAGAACGTTCATTCTCGCAGTCACTCACCATCACCATCTGTTTTCTACGCTTAAATTTGCTACTGTTAATTGTCATTTTCAAGTTGAACATCATCTGTTCTATGTTCCACACTCATTGTTGAAACATTTCACTTCAGTCATGCTAATAGCAATTATCTGCATAAGAACTTTTTGTGCACGAAAAGCAAGAACATCTAAAATTTCCAATATCTTTCTCAAGTAATAAAACAGTAATAAAACACGCCCTTACTGCTTATCGATCTTACATTTGATTTCAAAAAAAA